GCTTTAAATTTTTGTGAATTTTCATAGGAATTCTATGCAAATGATGGGGTGAAGAAAATAAAGGCAAAACAGTGAAGGGGAAAGAAAGAGAAAGGTGGAGTTGCATCGATAAAAGTGTCTATGAATTGTTATTATTCATCAAGGTAATAAATATCCACTCTTTCTACTTCCACCATTTTAATATCTTTAAATAATCATGTTGTAATAAAATGTGTTAGGGTCCAACTTGTCTAATTTTTGCTCAGAACACATGATTTTACCTTTTTTGTATTTTTTATTCATTTTAAAGCTTCTATAGCTTTAAGTTTTTGTGAATTTACATAGAAATTCTATGCAAATAATGGCCTGAAGAAAAGAAAGACAAAACAATGAACGGGAAAGAAAGAGAAAAGTGGAGTTGCATCGATAAAAAATGTCTATGAATTGTTATTATTTTTCAAGGTAATGAATATTCATTCTTTATACTACTTGTATAACCTATAAACCCCAAGCAATTATGATAGAATACTCGGTTGAATTTAAAGTATTTTATGAGTTATTATTGCAAAATAATAAGCTATCATTATACCTATAAGTAGGTAATTATCATGATTATAAGTTGAGTATTGTTAAAAAAATAAGTTGTGCGATTTTAGAGATTTTCTCATTTGGTTATGAATTGATCCATGTTTTGATCTTATCAAGAAATTAAGTTTCTTATTGTGATCTTCACTAAGGCTTATCATTCTTTCTTATTCATAGAAAGAGTTTGGTGCCCCATTTCTATTATATTCTAACAATTTTTTTCTAAATTTTCAGTTGTTTCAATTTTTTTCTCAAACTCAACTATTGCTTAAAAAACCCTTGTCTTTACTCTATCTTATTACATTGAAATCACAAAATTCATAAATTTATCATATGAGAAAATTCCTGAATTTCATATCGGTTATTCATCAATATTAGACAACAAAACTCATAAATTTTAATGTCAAAGGACTAGAAAAATAGTGAAACATAAATTGAAAAAGGGCAGTTTAATAGTCTTATGGAAAATAAAAACGAAAAATAAATAAATTGAAAAAGGAAGCTGAAAAAATGGTCAGCATGGCTCGATGACACTCGAGCATACTAGATTTTTAGTAAGTTTTAACAATGTTTTAAATTTTTATTACTAACACAATTGTTCACCAATTTGAATAAACATGAAATTTGAACTAACCACTAAATTAAGCGATCTTATTGAGTGGATTGGCTAGCCCAGAACATGTATGTTTCTCCCTCAAACTAGAAAACCAATCTATTAAATAACTGCATATGAGTTATTAACTTCTTCTTTGTATACCGTGTATACTATATATCATCCAATGAATTGGGACCAATAGCATTATAGCATATAGATACTAGCCTCAATCCTTTATAGAAAAAGAAAAAGAAAAACTTGGTACTATTTATTTGGAAGCGGGTGTAGTGTATTGTACTGCTTGCTAGCACACACAGACAGCAAAACAAAACAACATGGACCGTACGTTAATCTCTGACTGCACTCGTGTCCTCCATCACCTCTTTACATTTTCTATCTCTTTATAAAACTAAAACGATACGTGGCAATAATGTAGTCAACCTCAACCCATTGAGGAATATTCAGATTCAATCCTGAAATAAAGTGTGACCACTTTGTTTGTCCCTCCAAAAGGTTGGTTGGTTGGTTCCTAGCTAATGTCTGTCTTCGACTTGATTGATTCATGGTGGGATCAATTCATTGGCCATAAAAATATATTATATTTTTATTTTCTCACCTAAGTCTCTTCTTTCTTTCTTCTCGTACACAATGATCAAAATAGCTTATCTATCTTACATAACAGTGTACCCTAAGCAGACATGGGTTGTTGTTGTTTGCAGAATCACTTTTTTTCTCTTTTAAATTCTGGTATATGTTCTATCCACGCCATTCATTGGACATCTTTTAGTCTAAGGTAGTACTAGAATATCATGATATTTTAGAATATTTACAAGATTGAATTATCCGATTTAATATTTCTACAACTTTGTTAGCAACGTCGAGTTAGGTGATTAATTCATTTTATTTTATTTTTATTTGAATCAGTCATATAATTTATTGATTGATTCTTTAATTCAATCACTTATCTCTTGATTCCACGAAATGATGAAGATGTTTTAGAACATTGCTTACAAGAATAGAGCAAACTTTATCTTTTCTAGAAGTAAACTTCTTAGCAAATAACTTATAGCACTGCACTATACTATAAAAATGCCGTTTTTTTTAATAAAAAGAATGACTGCTTTATAGTACCAAAAAGAATACCAACTTTCTCGTGAAATATAAATAATAAATAACAAAAGCTAGTAGTTTTAACACACGTATACTTACTTAATAAGTTATCTTCCAGAAAAATAATTTAATTAGTTTGCTATTGTAAAATACACTTTGTCAAATTCATCAATTTTTTTTCCATAAACAAAATATTAAATAAAAAATGTGTTTGATGTTGGACATGTAATCTAGTACAAAGATTGTTAACATCTAATAAATTTAAATTTGAAATTTTAAGAAAAACACGTTTTCTGAACTAAGTTTTGACCAACAGATTACTCCTTAAAGATTAATTATCGATGTTGATGTGCCTTCATCTTTGTCGCATATGTTGTTTTTAATGCATGAGCGTGCTTTATAATGGCTGAATTGTGAGCCCTTTGTTTGGTTGGAAGGTGAAGTTGAATGAGAGACAAAGATGTACTAATTAGTCAAAGGGTTTTGGAAGTGAGGAAGGGGTTAAAAAAGTTGAAGAAAACCTAGAGAGAGTGTTTTGGGGTGAAAAAGACATATAATCCATGATAAAGAGAAGCACATGGGTGCAACTAAGGAACCTTGTTGCGTGTCACAACCCCTTAATGTGTTTAAGGGACCACATACTCTATCCATTTGACACGTGTTGGATTGTTATTCATTCTAACATTTTGTGAGCAGTGACTTTGAAGAGTCCCTTTCCATTTGTCCATTCTTTCTTCATCTATATCAACTGTAGCCGTCATGCTTGACATTGAGAATTTTCAGTTTCTTACGGTTAAAAAGTCATTTAATACAAGTAATGCAGTAAAAAAAGTTAAAAAGTACGTCCAATTTCGTGTGAAATTTTTAAAATGTTTTATAATTTAGTATTTGAAAGTTACTATTATTATATTTTTTATAAAAAAATAGTTATTATGTTTGATTATAGTAATTATTAAATAGACATTTCTCACCCATATATGTGAATTATTTCACACGAATTACTATAGCGTGAATTATTAAATAGAGATTTCTCAGCTATACATGTGAAATTACTATAGCGTGAAGAAACGATAGAATACTTAATATGGGTAAAGTGTATTTTCCTCTAGACACATTAAAACTAGCAAAAAACAAAAGAAAACCCTATCAACAAATACACAATGAGAATGGATTCAAAGAACCTACAACATATGAAGAAAAAGTTGGAAAGTGAAAGATGAATACATAAAATGCATTAACCATGCGGGACACACATCGTTTTCAAACAAAAAGTGAAACGGATATTTTTCGGAATTTTTCCATTTGTGGTGGTGAAATTTAAGATTATGTTTTAGGTAAGATTAAAAGCATAGGATAAAATATGCTTCTTATAGTTAGTTTAAGTGTATGGTAATTAATATAGGATAAGGATTAGGATCATAGAGCAATGTCAGCAGTAGAAAAAGAGGAAAGAGATCAATAGAAAGAGATTCGTTTTTAAGTTAGTCTTTTATTTATTAATTAATTTGACATATTTTAATTATGTTTAATACATTTTAATGGAGATTAGGTTATAGAGAACATGTGCGTGACACATGCAAGATTCCTTTGGTTATGCTTTTGAGATGTTTTAATAATCTTAACTTTAGTTAAACTAATCAATCAAATCAAAACTAATTAAACAAGTGGGTGTCATGTTTATTCCGACAAATCCAGCAATTGTTTCCCATCTTCCAACTTTGATTTAATTTGATCAAGTATCTTAATCAAGATTGTTAGTCACACACACCCTGGCTAATCAAAGTGCAGTGTTAATTGTTTTCTTGATTATGATATTTTTGACATATAGTATAAAGCATTTTTTGATGTGCCTTCTTGTGCCAACGTGTGATCAATGATCCAATAAACTTAAATAATAATAATAATTATTATTATTATTGCAATTATAATTATAATTATAATTAAGTAGTATGATTTAATTTCAGTCAAGTTAATTTTATTAGTATTTTTGGTTTCACAATAGTGAGAAACAGAAAAAAATTCAAACACTGAAAATTAATTTTAATATATTTAAATAATGTTAATTGAAATTGATTTTATCTTTATAATTAAGAATAATTTGTTTTAAATTAAAAAAAAATAGATTTTTTGTTTATATTTTCAAAAATAATTTTTATAAATTTTTGTCTAAATTTTTTTTTTAAATTAACTCATTTTTTATAATTTAGAAGATTAATTTTTGTCAACAATTTTAAGTTGTACCCTGCTGTGAATTGTACTCTTGTCTCCTTGATTCCCAAAGGAAATGGTGGTAATTGTGTGAAGGATTTTAGGCCAATATCCTGTTGTGCTACTCTTTATAAGATCATATCCAAAATCTTGACAAGAAGATTGAGCAAGGTTCTTACTAGTATAATCAATCAAAGTCAGACTGCTTTCATCCCTGGACAGAACATCCATGAGCATATCTTATTAGCGTACGAGTTAATCCAAGGCAACAGCAAAAAGACGATACTCCTAGATGCCTGTTGCAGCTTGACATCCAAAAAGCCTATGATGCCCTGGACTGGTATGCACTTGAGTGTATCCTAAAGGAATTTGAGTTCTCCCACAACTTCACCAAATGGATAATGCTGGCGGTGTCAACAGTATCTTACAAGTTTAATGTTGCTGGCAGAATTACTAGAAGCATGAAGGCTAAAAGGGGCCTGAGACAAGGTGGCCCTATTTCCCCCTTCTCTTTGTCTTAACTATGGATTACTTCCATAGTCTCCTGCACCAGTTAAGTAGGATCCCTGATTTCAACTTCCATGCTAAATGCGAAAAGCTGCAGATTATCGATATCAGTTTTGCGGATGATGTCCTCTTCTTTACCCGTGGGGATGGAAAGTCTGTGCAGCTGCGTATGGATCAACTGCAAATGTTCTCTCAGTCCACTGGTCTTGTAGTTAACCCTACGAAGTGTAGGGTGTACTTCGGGGGGGTTGATATTGAGACCAAAAACGACATCTTGGCTTCTACTTCGTTTATGGAAGGGGATTTACCCTTTTGTTACTTGGGTGTTCCTCTCACAAGTAAAAGACTTTCAACGCATCATTATATGAGTTTGGTGGATAGAATTGTTAGTCGGATTCGTCATTGGAGCTCCAAATTATTAAGCTATGCAGGCATACTCCAATTAATAAATAGTATCATTACTGCTATAGCAGCTTACTGGATGAATTGTCTCCCTTTTCCCAAGCATGTGATTAAAACCATTAATTCTATTTGCAGGACTTTTCTGTGGACAGGTAGCGAGGTAAAGTCGAGAAAATCCCCAATTGCGTAGAAGATGGTTTGTAAACCTCGGAGGAAGGGCGGGCTGAATGTGTTGGACTTATCAGAGTGGAACACGGCTTGCTTAACAAAACTGTTGTGGAACCTTTGCAACAAGAAGGATTCTCTTTGGGTGAAATGGATCCACACGTTCTATTTCAAAACCACAGATCTCCTGCAGGTCCAGGAAAAATAGGGTATGTCTTGGATTTTCCAAACTATTCTTAGGCACCGAATCATCATAATTGGCATGGAAGATTGGAATGAAACGAAAGAGAAATACTCTGTGGGAAAAGTATACTAGTACCTCAAGAAGGATGAACCTGATGTTGGGTGGAAGCACATGTTATCCAACACTATTGCTAGACCGAGAGTCCTTTTTACTATGTGGATGGCTTGCCACCGTAGACTTACGACAAGGGGACGACTCAAAAAGTTTGGCCTCATGACCGACGACAGCTGTAAATTCTGCAACAAGGAGGAAACAATTGACCATCTCTTATTCGATTTCACGCCATTTAAAAACTGTTGGCAGCAAATTCTGGTGTGCTTGGGGTTTCAACATTGCCCGTGTGAATGGCGTGAAGAACTTGAGTGGTTAATCACACAGTGTAAAGGGAAAGGCTGGAGGAAATGCATCATGCGTAGTTCTGTAGCGAAGACCATCTATGAAGTTTGGAAGTATCGTAACAATGTCGTATATGGCAATCCAGTAAATACTTTGGAGATTAGAGATTTAGTCATTTCTACCCTTGCAAACAAAGGGTGGGTTAATACTAGAATGAGACATCATATAGCTAAACTTCTTATAGTGTAGTTGGGTTTTTTTGGTTGCTTTGTGTTTGGGGTTCTTTGTACCCTTGTATATTCTCTTTTTGGTTTATATAAAGTCTCTTTTATTCTAAAAAAAAAAGTTGACATTCAATAACATAAATATATATTATTAAATATTAAAATAGTTAAAATCACATTTTTTTTAAAAATAAGTATCTTAAAATGATTTTTATCAAAAACTATTTAAAATAGCTTCATATTTAAGACTTTTTAAAATTTAATATTTAAACAAAATTATAATAATAGGATGAAATATTTAAAATAATATTTTATGAAAAATTATTTAAATTTATTTTTTATTTGAATTATTTAAAAAAATTATAAATATTTCTTTAACCAAAAAAATATGTAACACATTAAAAATCATTTAAAAAGAACTGAAATAAGTAGGCTCATAATTTTAAATAAAAGTTAGAATTTGTAATTTTGGTCTTAGATATAATCTTTAAATTAAAATTAATTATTCAAACTATTTTTGCATCAATATAAAATAAAATGTTTTATATTTAATTTAATTTTAAATAACATCAACTTTACAACCAAAGACACAATAAATATACTTTTATATTTAAAATAAAGCATAGTGGACCCGCTAATATTATGATTCTAGCACATTGAAGTGAGACACTAGATGAAACTTCAACACATACACATACACATGACCTATGTGTAACATTTTTTATGAGCAAACAACACTTACTCTCTACCACATTATAACATCAAAAATCTTATATAGACATGTCGACCTAAAAAAACAAACAACTTTATCTCAACAACTTAACCCTAGTTCTATACACATTCAAACACCAAACTTGCTTGCAATTAAATAATTACAATAGGTTAAATTTAATTCTAGTGTAACACATGTGAGCAATATTATTATAATCATGAATTGCTGAATTTTGTTTTGTGTTGTATGAGTCACACACAATCCACTTCCATGTTTCCCTCCTTCCATACTAATCACATTGACACTAGCTAGGTATAGCCATGAATAAGATATTAAGTAGGGTTAATTAAATTTGAGTAGCTATATATATTTTATTATAAGATGCATGGTTGTGAAATGAAGGAGTAAGCTTCTACTGTTTCTTTCCTTCTTTATGCTTAACCTATAGGCCTAGTTTTCAACAACCCCTAATTTGCGCCACAATTTTGGCCATTATCCATAGTACTATATCTATATGTAGGTTAATTTGTTCACTGCCAATGAGTCTATAGCGCATGGACCAAGGTAGTGTCATTGGTTTCATGGCCAAATAAACTTTACGTCGGCATTTAAGTGCCATTGTGTTAGCTAGAGAGTGACTACTCACTAGCATTCAACTAATCCCCCACTTATTAGTAAACAAATATAATTAGTTTATTCTTAAGTTATCAAATCTTTACCTCTAAAAATAGTTAAAATATTAGTTAAAATCACCAAGCAAACAATTGTATAATTCATCGAGTATTTCTTAGTATTTCTTACCATTTTTTAAACAATTGAGAAATCCATATTTGAGGGTTATGATTCCTCCCTTAGTGTAGTTATTTGAAGACAAAGGAATTATTGTTGAGAGTTATTAGATGATATCTCAACTAATCTTTAAGTTTAACAATATATTTAGTGTGTTTGACATCACATTGCAATCATAATCATTAACATTCTAAATAATGGGAATGTTATTCCTACCGCTTCTTGAGATATCTGATTGATCCACTTGAAGAACTAGTGATAACTAAAACATAATTTATTGAGAATAACTAGACATGGATATACATGAAATTATGTATTAATTGTCTAAGATTTTTGAAGTATAAATTCAAACAACGAATTAACTAATCATTTCTAAATAAGAATTTAAGCAAAAACAATCAGAACATGTAGCGTTCATCTTCATTTGATATCTATAAATATTTCTTTCTAAACATTCATTTGATATCTATAAATATTTCTTTCTAAACATGCAAAAGAAGACGTATCCAATTATTATTTTTTAGCGTATTGTGCCTTTTTTATAAGTTTTGTTGTCTACTAACCATTACTAGCACAACAAGTTAAGGCATAGATCATTGAATTGGTTCGATAGTTCTACTTTCCTTTATCATTTTGTAGTTGTATCGTACCTAATTTTATTTGTTTCATTTGTGTTAGGTGTGTTATTTTTTAGAAGTATGTGTTTGTTATGCATGACTTATCTCATTCATCTTAGCATTTCACTTATTTGTTCATCTCATTCTTCATCTGCATAAACATTTGTTCATTTATTTTCATCTAGATAATTTGATCATTTTGCATTAATCTGCAACATATCATTCTAACTACCATCAAAGTGTTTTTTTTTTATTTTTTATCATGTGCATTAAAATAATATTCATTACATTAACCCTTTAACTATGCATTAAAACTATTTTACAAGTTTTTATTCTTTATTTTTCAAACTTTCAAAATTTTCTATTTTTGAGCTCAATTGATTTGAATCGTAGAGAAGCCTGATTCAAATCACACTAGGATTTGACAATTTGATTCTAATCATAACTCTGACTAACACATGTTAAAAGGATGCAAATTTTCCGCATTTTTTCACTGGCCACTTGATTCAAATCATAACCTTCCTTGATTCGAATCAAAAGAGGTTCTGCAAAAATTAAGCATTCTGATTCGAATCAAACTGAGATCTAACTCGAATCAAATTAAATAGTCCATTTCTAATTCGAATAAACACTCTCCATGATTAGAATCAAACTTATTTCAACTGAAAATTTAAAGATAGTGCCTTTTCACATTCATCATTACACTTTATTCAAATTATTATTTTTCATTTAAACACTCCTCACTCTCCATTTTTCAAAAATCGCTCATTTCATTTAAAACTAAATTCATTTCTCATTCATTCATTTATCTCTTATACCCATTTTTCATCATCATCAATATCATTCACCCATTTTCACTGTCAACCTCCATTTTCCATTATCACAATCAATCGTCAATCATCAACAATGAAAGGTTCCAAGTGTTCATTTGATAAGCAAATAGGCAAGCATTTCAATTCTTCCTCTATTCCTTACGAAATTCCTAAGCAAAAGAGAAAAAATAATATCGCTTATAAAGAGTCTTCCAAGACAAAAATAAAGATTAATCCTTCAAGTAATTTTGCTCATGTCATTGTATTTGCATGTCTCTATTATCCGACTATTTTGTTATTTGTCTTATCGCTTTCATTTATATTATTATTTTGATTTGTTGAGTCTCCTTCATTATTGAATTTATCATGTTTAACATGCATAAAACTTTGGTTAAGCATGATAAACATTGGTGGCAAAGTTGAGAGTGACAAGAGATTTAATACTAAGGTCTCCCTGAGATAAAGGTCAACAAATCTCTTTCCAAGAAATTGTGACCAGTTTTTTATGAGATGTGTCCTTTAATCATATAAAGTTCCTTATCCAAGTCTTTAAGCAGAACAGATGGACATTGAATGAATTAGAATGCTTGGCACCGAAGATTTGACTAGCTAGACTCTTCTTACAATAGAGATAATAGAGGTTTTCCCATTAGCCAGATTAGATTTAATCGTCTACAATGGGCTGGAGATGGATGCCCTTGAGCTTTTCTCTAAAATTGGTACCTCAAGGTATGTGAAAGAAAAAGATCCAATATTGAACCCTTAGAAATTAGAAACTAGGTGAATCCTAGCATGAGAGATTGCACATGCAAAAACAATAGATTTGTTAGAGTTAATGTTTGATGCCATTGCATATTTGGTCAAAAGGTTTTTAAGGGCTACCAAATTTTGCATTCTTCCATTGCGGTATATCACGATGTCATCAACATAAAGGTAATGAGAGGGGACCAAGACATTTCTAGATGTTATGATTATCATGAGCTTTCCACTACCCATGAGTCTAATTATACTCCTATTAAGCACATCTTCATCGAGACAAAAGAGAAGAGGTGAGAGGGGGTCACCTTGCCCCACCCCTCTACTGCATTGGAAATAACCATGATGTTTACCATTCATAGAGATGGATAATCAAGCAGAGGTAAGAATAATGTCCACCAAATTGCAAAATTTGTCACTAAACCAAAATCTCTCAGGATTTTATTCAAAAATGATCAATCCAGAGTGTCAAAGGCCTTTGCCACATTTATCTTCAAGGATATGCTTCCACTAAATGACTTTGAGTGGAAAAGGT